TTAAAAAAAAAGCTAGCAGGCTTGAAAACAACTGTGCAATCTTACATGAGTAGGGTTCCAGTTTTGCACTGCAAGAGTGTTTCTTGAATTCATTTTTGGTGACTCCTGTATAAAACACTATGTTGCCTGACAGGTATGTAGTCACAGTGTAGTAGCTGCGGCTTCTGTTCCTGAAAGTTATAGTGACTTTAAAGTCACTGCCAAGGACTGCTTTTTGCACTTGGAAGTCCATGTCAACATCTGTCTGTGGGTGATACATGGTATCCTGAGTCGTTTGCTTTTTAACGCCATACATGACAGCTGTCTCAAGAGCCAGTCTCTCCTCGTCTGAGCCTAGAATGAATGAAAACAAAATTTAGAAGAGAAACAGGGGTACGGAAGCAGCTCACTCACCAGTCTCAAGGGTGCATCTTCCATAGCTGTGGTAGCTAAAAATGAATGGATGAGGACAGTGAACCTTCCTATAGAGAAGTTAATTTTAGGAGAACTTCACAATTTTCGAGTGAGCCAGTCTTAAAGATTCAAGACATATCAGATAAATTGATCTAACTTAATTGATATTAATCAAGTGACACTAATTTACTCTGTGCAAACATGTGACCCAAGTAAGAATTGTCTAAGCAGCTGCACAGAAGGCCTTGAATTTTTTTGAATGCTTTGTTACTCCATGACTACCCTTTTTTTCCACTACAGTTTACTGGATCCAAAATATTTCTGACTAGCAAAGTCTGTGCTGTTATGAAAGCATCTGAAGTGTTTCTGGGGTGGGCTTAAAAATAAAGAGTTCCAGTGGGCACCTTGGCAGCTTTTCATGCAGCTTTTCAGTGCCACAGGTCTATAAATCCATCATCTAAGATCGAACTGAGGTAAATCTATATTGGTATGGCCCCACCTCATTTCAGGTTACCTTCTTGAAACTTGTACTCATCAGTAATCTCCAGCATTCCATCACCCCCAACTTCCTTGGTCACAATCAACTGTCCAATATGGGTTTTGTCAATTTTTTCTATCACTTGGGTTCCATTTTTCTCCCTTCTTGAGTAAACAACATCACTATTCACCTACAAAATTAAATGAAAAAGCATTGAGACATGTGGAAGTAGAGACAGGAAGGGAAGCCAGCCTAGCTCCCCTCAAAATGATGACACATTGACTTGAAGTCCCACTAGTCTTGAAGTCCAATGTTTAAGATTAGTCATACGCTACAATACTGACTAGATGAATTTTAGCATTCATAGCTCCAGAACAACAGTGTAAACTTGAGTAGGCTACAAAGATACTGTTTGGACTTGGGAAGCATGATTACACATTCCTTGCACAAAAAAAGTTTAAAATCATGGAGAGGGGAATGCTTCACAGACAAAAATATCTTTATTCTCTTCTGTCCTCAGTTATACACAACTCAATTAGAGAGAGACTTGCTGTGCAGCTGCTGCAGCTCTGGGCAGACCAGCTCTGATGGTGTAAGAGGTTAAAACTCTAGACTAGATCCTCTCACTCCTCAGGGAGATATTTCCCTCCCATATCTGCCAGTCAAACCACCCATGTGAACTCTCCTTTATCCACCAAAGCCAAAATTAACATGGTGAGCAAAGCCCTCTTTAAAATCACTGCAGCCATTTTGACTGAAAGAAGCAAGGGAACCTTAACATAAGCAGCTTTGCTGGCAAGCCTGGGAAGGAGGTAACAGCTAATAAGGGATGAAGACAAGCAGCTAGAGCTAGTGACTCATTTGCCAGCATAGCTGGAATCTGGGAAAGGTAAAGTCTGAAGTTTCAACAGAGCCAGAGTAGATTTTTCTGCTTATTACATTAGTGTGCAGAGATTAGTCAAATCTCTGTCATTCATTAGAGCCATGTCACTTCTACTGGCCTGCATGTCAAAATATAATTATGAGATTTTCCTTTGACATGGAGTATACATGAAGTTACTTTCAATGTTCAAAGCTTAGTGGAGCCCTATCTCCTGTCTCACCCATAGTCCCCCTAGATATCACTCAACACACTAAAAATTTTCATTTATGTACCTCAGCATAGACAAAAGGAGCATCAAATTGGAAGCAAACATGACCATGTTTAATGGCTTGAACTGAAGCTGGGCCACACCTGTACATACCTATGGGGAGAAGAGAGACAAAGAGAAAGATTAGTTTAAAAACATCTCAAAATGTTATATTCTCTCAAAGCAAAAGAATACATTGAGGTTTGGTGAACTCTTTTAATAGTTTACAGGAACTCCTCCTGACCAAGAAGTGAAAAACTTTATTTCTGTTACTAGCCCTCTGAAAAACACAGACTCAAGTCTGAAACAACCTAATGGTAAATTAATGGCACCATATAGTCCTCTGTAAGTGTCAAGTGCTTGAAACACAGTTACAGCTGGTTTTGGTTAAAGCAGATAATTTTGGGAGGGCTCAGTTATACCACAGACTGAGAAAGATCTCACTGCAAATTTGTTAAGAATGTTTTTTAAGAACTGAAAAACTAAGGAATAGGAAGAAATAGCATTTTTACTCTCCTGCCTACTGCCTGCTTATGAAGTTTAGTAAGGGATGTAGACATAAAATGAAGAAGAATTAATTTGATCAGGCTCTTCTGCAAGTTCTCTAAAATTTTGAAAGCCATTCTTTGGCGACAGATCTGTATCTTCTCTGTACCAGGCAGGGCCCTTCTCATGCAGGATTTTGTGCACATGCATCACGAGCAGTGTTATAAGAAGGACTGATTTCTTTTAGAGCTCAAAACAAATTAGGACAAGGCCCCAAGCACAGGGAGTGTGGTTATCTGGTTCAAGAAGTTGCCACTGGCTGTACAGTGCCACTGGCAGTGTGGAACATCTCCATTATGAGAGAAGGCTGAGGGAGCTGAGTCCATTTAACTTGGAGGAGACAGAGCACTGGGACAGGCTGCCCAGAGAGGTCGTGGCATCTCCTTCTCTGGAGACACTAAAAACCCACCTAGACGCCTTCCTGTGTGATGTGCTCTGGGTGACCCTGCTCTGGCAAGGGGGTTGGACTGGATGATCTTTCAAGGTCCCTTCCAACCCCTAGGATTCTGTGATTCTGTGGCTTAGCTACCATCAACTCACTGGCTGACCCAAAGAACCCAAGCATTGAAATATGAGCTAAGGAGAACTTCAAGCAATATTACCGTCACTGGTTTCTTGGGGTGTCCCATCAACAACCTGCCATCCTCCAAAACCAACAGGGAGATCAGGTCTGGTCATCCAAGCTTCGTTCCAGCAATGATAGTTCCTTAGACAAGACATAAGACAAGAATATTAAATTCTTGGAAAGAAGCATACAAAACAATCTTGCATATTTATGTCCTGCCATTGCTTCAATAACAACATTTGCCAATTTAAGGGTTAAGAAGTTGGCACTTTTTAAGAGACCATATTTTTAGTTCTGTTAAAATCTGAAGGCCACATTCTTTCATTGTAGTTTCTTGACTTCAAGTTGAAGAAGCTTTTTGATTCACCTAACCTGTTCTGAATGCAAATGTCTCAGAAAAATTTACAGTGCTTGGAGATTTTTGGGATATAGGAAAAGCTACACAAACTATAATTCCTTTCCAGCCAGATACCTCTCCTTCAGTGTGCCTGCTAAGGCAAGCTTTGCATCTATTGAGACTGAAGCTTTGGTGTCTCTTCTGAAGAGATTTCAGGACCAACTCCATAATGTACATACTGGGTGTAATTTTGTTTTCATGGCTCAAAACAAACATACTTAGCTGGTTTCCGTGTTAGCTGGTTGAGAAAAAGACCCTGCATAGGCTTTATAAGACTGTGCTCATTGTGGATGCCTTAAAAGGTCTTTCTGGTGTGTTGTGCCAATGAGGGAGGTCAGATATCCTAGAACATGCAGCTTTTAAAAAAATCCACCTACAACCACTGTGGACCATGCCTTCAGGGCCCAGGACAGTATGCTGAAAA